AGGTACACGCTAGATTCCAGGACAGTAATTCTGTAGTGAGTTACTTGAAAGCATACAGGAGAATGGATAAATAAATGAAATTGGGGGGATCACCTTTGGAATTGTTTTAAATAAATTTATAACTATTTTAAGTGCTGCTTTGTAAGCAATGGAAGGCCAATGGTGTGCAGTTGGCATCCTTTAATGAAAGCAACATTTTTAGCTGGATTTTTTCTATTCTGCTAGTCTGTGGATCACAGAAAATTTAATCAAATATTCTACACCTCTTAACACCCTGGGACTTCAGCTGTGCAATTTCTGAAAATGTTTGTGTCCCCATCATAGGCCATCTGGCTCCAGCAGGTTTGGGGGGCCCTTGAGGAACTCATGTGCCTGGTGTACACAGCGTGTCCTGGGGGCAGATGTAGCCGAACATGCAGACTCCCATGGGCTCTGTTCCCAGCTGGTGGCCCGCACTGTCCTTGCTACCATTTTCCCCCAAACTGTAAACGTGAGCGAATTCCTGTGGGGCCTCCCATTCTAAGTTTCTCATGTTTTATTTCCTCCCCCTAGCACACCATTAGGGCTCTTCCTTCCACTCTGCTCCATGTTCCTCACATGATGCTTTTTTCTTTCTCTTTTCACTTCAGATTCAAATCCACCCTGATTACGGATCCCATCTTCTTCTTTTTTCTTTTGCTAATAACTCAACCTTGACTCAGAGGTAAATTTACCCTGAAGGTAATGAAGCTTAAACTGTAAGAATTGGTAAGAAACACAGAAAAAATATTTAAAATAGAAATATAATGGAAGTCCATAAGCAACTAATGAATAGAAGAACTGTAAGACTTTTCAGGATTTAGAAATTGGTGATTTGTTGTGCTCCCTTATCTTTTGAAACACTCACATTTGTACCAACACTTGTCTGTAAATTTGAGTTCTATTTTGTTTTATGTGTCAGACAACAAAACCTGGAGCAGTCCCTGCCCTGACTGTCAGCGTCAGTGAAAGTCACACTGTGAAGATGTGACTCAGTGCAGCGCTCTGGTGTGGGGTCACCCGGGTGAAACCAGGGCCCCATAAGTCATTAAGTAGGACTTTGGGAAGTTACTCAGCATCTCTAGGCTTCAGCTTTCTCATTTACAGGGGGAGATTAGAAAATGTAATTCCTTGTAGTTCCTTGTAATTGTATGATAATACACGGAAAATAACATCTGGTGGAAATCAAGTACTTAACAGAATGCCCTGTGGGAAGGCCCCTGGGCTTCCTTGGCCTCTCACAGGAGCCTGTGGATTCCCCACGCTCCTTCGGCTGGACGTGCAGGGAGATGCGGTCTCGTGTGGAACTGATCTTCCCTCTCTTTCCTTACACGGCAGAGTTCTGCTTTCACTGACTTTATGTATGTACACCCCATTAAGATTCAGTTTGAACAAAGGGCTCCGTGACTGTGTGTATTTGAACACCACTGCTCTTGCAACTTTTGTGTAAGGAATCACATGCTAACAATCGTAAAAATATTAAACACTGAAGGCAAGTGATAATGTGTTCTCTAGCTGACCCAAATCTTATATGTAGGAATGATGAGACACTATAAGAAAACAAAAGAAAGCTGACAACAGCAAAGTCTGCTTCTACCAGTAGATCAGAGAGTAAGCACTCAGTGGAATAAGTAAAAAAGAAGTAACGGAGAAATGTAAACGCCCCCCAATTCTCAGGGTATTGAGAGGACCATCAGGTTCTTCTCAGCACATGAGACTGAGCCTCATGTGGATCCCAGGTGGTTGTTATTTGTATCCAATATTAGAAGAAAGTGAGAACTCAACCAGCAGGAGGATTTTGAGAGGGAGCTGACACTGGAAATTTGTATATAACTCCCACAGATCTCTTTTATTGTGTTTAATCTTTTAATTGTACTTTTTAATTGGAAAAAAATGACCTCTATAATTTCTACTCAAATTGTTAGACAAAATAATTGTAACCCCTCTTTAATTTGAGAGCTCTTCAAATATATGAACCCACACCATCCCCAGATATCTCCACTTCCAATTAAAAGGTGATTGTTTGATGAAGGGACTAGAGATATTTTCTTTGATGTTTGTAAATCAATGAGAAATAGGAAACAATCACCATCTCCAAAGTTTCATGTTCAGAGACCTTCATGGGCCTTCAGGCACGTCTTTCTGAATGAAGTCTTTCTTGTGATCAGAATTACTCCCTTTTTCTTTTGTCCTGCTTGACTATGAATGAACAGGAAGCTGTTTTTTGTTCATCTAATTCCTTTCACTGCAGCATTTGTATATTAGGAATTGGCCAGGAGGAGGCGGTAAGGAAGGAGTAGATGTGACATATGTAAAGGAAGTTCCTGCCAAATAACAGAGGCAGCAACTGAGGGACAAGTGAAGGAAAGTCATAGTTGGAGAGAGGAAATCAAGGTCAAGTTTTCAGACTGAAGGCCTTGATTACCATCCTGAGGATGGAAAACAGGAGTGGATGGTAGAAATTTTAGGTGAATTCCAGAATGCTGGAAAGTGCAGATCACTTATCAGTCTAGAGCCTGGGCAACCCTGTAGACCAGAACCCGAATGAGGCAGCACAAGCCAACAAGAAATGGTGGCATGGAAGTGGGGTGCTGTGCGTTACCACGTGTCCGCTTGCTTCTTCATGGTCCAAGCGTATTTGCCAAATATGTGAAAGTGTTTGAATATAGGAAAGGCAGAAGGAAGCTGACAAATAAGAATGTATCAGGAATAGGGTTTCCAGAGTGACTAGGTGAATTTTAGGAAATGTTTTGCATGTTTAGTCAGAATATGTAAATTATAAGCCCATTCATTTATCAAAATGATTACAAGCTATAATTTTTGAGTGAAGCCAGGCTTGAAACATTATTTCTCCTAATCTCATTGTTAGTAGTGTTTTTACCAAATATCTGTGATTGTCCCATCACCAATGGTCACATGCACTTCCCTGGCCCTTTTTGTTGGTGCTTGAAATATATGCTGACCTTGAGGGGTGGGAGGGGTTACAGGTCTCACTATGGAGGAGAGGGTTTAAGATTCTGTGTGGCCGGTCAGAGAAAGATAGATACCATGTGACCTCACGTATATGTAGAATCTCATGAACTAAATAAACTGATGAACAAAATAGAAACAGAAGCCTGGATGCACGGAACAGACTGAGAGCTATTGAGGGGAAGAACTAAATAAACTGATGAACAAAATAGAAACAGAGGCTTGGATGCACGGAACAGACTGAGAGCTGTTGAGGGGAGGGAAGTGGGTGAAAGTAGGTGAAGGGATTAAGCAAAAAACATCTATGTATATCACACACAGAGAACAGTTGGTGATAGCCAGAGGGAAAGGGGTGGGTGGGTGGAGGTGAGTACAGTTGGGGGAATGGGCATGGGAAGATACTGCTTTGGGTGATGGGCACATGATGCAGTGGGCAGTTGATGTTTGGTTGAGTTGTACACTTGAAACCTGTATGGTTTTGTGAACCAATATCACCTCAATAAATTCAATTTAAAAAAATTGAAAGGATTTTTTGATGAGTCTAGAAAGGGGGGCATCGACCATCTCAGAGGAGTCGGACTGTCCTGAGGGGCTGTGGCCCAGCGGGACCAGGGCACTGTGCAGTACAGGACTTCCAGAATGGTAGAGTGAGGATCTGTGTATATCTGCTCCTTCATAGAGTAGGAAAATGCTGGCAAAATTTTTTAAGAACTTTGAAAATTAATCAAATTCCTACAAAAATATGAGAAACAATTTATTCAAGAAAAATGGCCGAACCTTGGTCAGAAGAGCAAGGTTTGTGGCTTGGTGTCCCGAGGGACAGTTCTTCGAGGTATGAAGCTGCAGCCTGCAGCCTGGGGGGCGGGCCTGCTCAGAGCCTGGAGAAGCCCCACCGGCATCGGCATCGCCACACTGAGACTCTGCCCGAGCTCCCTGGGAAAAGGCCCCACACAGGCATTGCTGCTGTTTGACCCTGGGAGGAGGGAACAATATATCCAGAGTTGCCACATCGTGTCATTGAAAATGTTCAGTTTTCAACAAAAATTATGAAGCATAGGAAAATAGCAGTCAATAGCCAACAGTGTCCTCAGGAATTCACATGTTGATTCTTAGTAGACAAAGACTGGTAAGTCAACTATTATGAATAGATTCAAAGAAACAAAGGATACCCTGTCTAACAAATTAAACGAAATATGACAGTACAACCAGTTCATCAGCAAGAGTTGGGGGACATGCGGGTTCAGGCTTAAGGAAATTTCTGACCAATAGTGAGATGGCTGAGGAGAGACAAGCGCAGACAGGTGACTGCATACCAGAGATCATATAGATGATAAAGTTAAAGAGTGACGACACCTTCTCACCACAAACATAACATCATTGAGGTAGAAACAGCCAAAAAAATAAAAGAACCAATACAGATTTTGGAGTTGAAAACTACAATGATTGAATTTTATAAAAAAATCACTAGAGGGGATCAACAACAGATCTGAACTGGCAGAAGGAAGGTTCAGCAAACTTGCAGTTACACCAATTAAGAGTATTCAGTCAAAGAGACAGAAAGAGAAAGAAGAAACAGTATAAATAGGGCCAGAGCCTGTGCATCTGCAGTGGGTGGGGCAGCGGAAACATGAGGGGGCCCAGAGGAAAGGCGCAGAGAATGTGTGAAACAAAGATGGCCAATAATTTCCCAGTTTGGTGAAAAGCATCACCTACTCACCAGGAAGCTCAGTGAGCGCTGAGTGGGAGAACAGCAAAAGGTACAACCTTACCATGAAGCACTGAGTTTTCTGCAAAGAGGAGGTACCAGCAGTTCCCAAAAGGTTAGTTTCTTGGAGGTGCATCTGAATGTTGGTAAAACAATAAAATAAAACATCATCACAGGTGTCCCTAAGCAACCCTCAAATAAAAAGAAAATACAGATTAGGAAGCTCAAATCAAGAATCTTTTGGCTTGTCTGTATCTTTCTATTTATGCTGGGGTCTCTCAATTTGCAATCTGTCTCCGTTTTGAAGGCCCATTCACAGGACCCTGCGCGAACACAAGACCGTGTGGAAGATGCTGAAAACAGTTCCAGATTTAACTTCTCAGCTGACAGATGACCATCTGAGGATTCTCAGTAAGAACGTCATTTCTGAAACCTGGATAAAAGGCAGCACAGGTAATGGACTCTGGAGGGACGCTTGGCAAAATCAAATGCGTGTCCCCATTTTGATTCTCTGTCAATTATAATATGCACTAGAGCAGTGGTTCTCAACCTTCTGGCCCTTTAAATACAGTTCCTCATGTTGTGACCCAACCATAAAATTATTTTCATTGCTATTTCATCACTGTAATGTTGCTACTGTTATGAATTGTAATGTAAATATCTGATATGCAGGATGGTCTTAGGTGACCCCTGTGAAAGGGTCGTTCGACCGCCAAAGGGGTCGCGACCCACAGGTTGAGAACCGCTGCACTAGAGGCTTGGTGCATGAATTCCTGCACCAGTGGGGTCCAGCTGGCTGGCCAGGAGGAGGGGCCATGGGTGGTTGGCTGGCTGGCCCCACACCCAATGGGGGTTGGGGGGCCATTGGGGTGGGGTCCAGCTGTCCAGCCAGGAGGAGGGGCCGTGGGTGGTTGGCCGGCCAGCCCCAGCCCCTGGTTGAACTCCTGGTCAAACTCCCAATCGAGGGGACAGTTTTTATGTTAGCCTTCTATTATATAGGACTAGAAGCCCGTTGCACTAAGATTCACGCAATAGGCCTTCCTTCCCCTGGCTGCCGGCACCAGTTTTCTTCCAGCATCTGGGACCCAGACCTTTGGTCCGGCCGCAGCAGAGAAGCCAAGCCTCAAGGCTAGGCTTCTCCCCTCCAGCCGCAGCGAGGCTTGGCTGTGGCTGCAGCAGAGAAGCCAAGTCTCTTCAGTCTTCAGTCTTCAGTCTTCAGTCTTCGCTCCTCGCCTGTGTATGCAAATTAACCGCCATCTTTGTTGAGCTAATTTGCATAGTCACTCTGATTGGCTAGTGGGCGTAGCGGAGTAATACCAATTTGCATGGCTCTCTTTTATTAGTGTAGATTATTTTATTGGACATGTTAAAAATGTACTGTGTAGAGGTATTTTGTTTGTAAGGATATAAGTCACGGAATGAATTACATTTCACACCTTAGAACTTAGGTTTAGAGACAGTCACGAGCATTTCTCCACCTGAGGACACAGCAGAGTCACTGGGAGACTCACTGGGATGCACTGCAGTGCTCACCCCGCCCTGTGCTTTCTGCTTCCAGGGCTGGGGCGGGGCTTAATTTGCACGTCCAGTAATGTTCCAGGTGATGCTGCCAGTCTGAGGACCACACTTTGAAAACCACTCGTTGGTATGCACATTTAATAACAATCTGGCATAGGTGCTCATAGTTAAGGCAGGAAGTGGTCAAAGTGATTATTTGACTGATTCCAATACTAATTAGTTATTGGGGGAAAAAACCTCTCCAGACAGATTTCCAGTTTCCCAATTTTAATTCCTAGCTCCTTTACCAAGCGTATATTGGGTGCGTTAGGAGAGTATTTTATATCTTAATTGGTGGCAGGCAAGTCAACACACATGGAGTCACACACCTAAACCAAGAGTTCAGCATTTGTTCTTCTTTTTGTGATTATTAAGTATCTACTAGAAAAGAGAAACCAATTTACTTAATTCATTTTTTTTGTGTGTCAGGGAATCTTCCTTATTTATTAATCACAGTAACAAATAAAAGTAGCTTATTATTTGTTTCTTTTCTTTTTTTATTGAATTTATTGGGTTATATCAGTTAACAAATTATATAAGTTTCAGGTGTAAATTCTATAATACATCACCTCTATATTGTACTGTGTGTTCACCCCAAGTCAAATCTCCTTCCATACCCTCTTCTACCTCCCCCGCCCCCCTGTCCTCTGGTAATCGCCATACTGTTGTCAGTGTCTATGAGTTTTTTGTTGTTGTTTGTTTTTGCTTAATCCCTTCACCTTTTTTACCCAGCCTCACAAGCCCCACTCCCCTCTGACAGCTGTCAGTTTGTTCTCTGAGTCTGTTTCCATTTTGTTTGTTGGTTTATTTTGTTCATTAGATTCCACATATGAGTGAGATCATGTTATACTTGTCTTTCTCTGACTGCTTTATTTCACTTAGCATAATACTCTCCAGGTCCCTCCATGCTGTCTCTAAGGGTAAGAGAAGAGCCTTCTTTTTTACAGCTGCACAGTATTCCATGGCATAAATATACACAGATTTTTTTATCCACTCATCACTGACGGGCACCTGGGACCCTAAGGCACAAAGCATCATGCACGTATCCTGGTTCGAGTGGACTTCAAACACACTTTACCGCAGGTCTGCGCTCGCTCTCCACCCCTCCCCATCGAGCTGCTAGTCTGAGCAAGTGGTTCCTCAGGGTCACTGCGTTGAAAGTCTAACTGTAACTTCAGAGAATGCGTGTCTGCTGGAAACAGGACACGTTTCGAGAGTTTTCCCTGATGGTTCTCCTTCATAGCTTCATTTAATCTGCCATCAAGCAGGGAAGACTAAGTCACGGCGGTGTTGCAGGGGACGAATGATATTGGAAGAAAGAACAAACTTTCAACATTGCTTTGCTGTCAGTTTGAGCGTAGGACTTAAAAATGTATTTGTGTTGTCATATATCCCTGAAATTATATTCCTTATGGTGAAAAATGTGAAATCAACCTGAATGGCCTTGGCTAGAGAGTGGCCAGCAATAGGGTGGTAAGTGGCCTTGCAATGCTAGCTGTGGTTGAAGAGAATGAGGCAGATCTGCATATATTGACGTGGAGGCCAAAAACCCCACAACAGCAAACAGAACAACTGTAGCATTAATAGGTAATATGAACACATGTGTATTTTCATAAATACCTGAAGTTATATATAAACTAGAGGCCTGATGCACAAAATTTGGGCAAGAGTTGACCTTCCTTCCCCCAGCTAATTAGCATATTATGCTTTTATTATTATAGATCTATAAAAACACCTGGCAAAGTCCACAGGGATACATCCTGAAGGACAATCCCAAAATACCTGTTTTGAAAGTTGTTACCCTGGTGGGGGAGAGAGGAGTTGAAGGGCAGTGACTGGGACAATGACCTCTCTTTTCCCCATATCTTTGTGTTGAATTTTCCATAGTGCAGTGGTTCTCAACCTTCCTAATGCCGCGACCCTTTAATACAGTTCCTCATGTTGTGGTGACGCCCAATTTCATTGTTACAAATTGAACATAATTAAAGCATAGTGATTAATCACAAAACAATATGTAATTATATATGTGTTTTCTGATGGTCTTAGGCTACCCCTGTGAAAGGGTCGTTTGACCCCCAAAGGGGTCGTGACCCACAGGTTGAGAACCGCTGCCGTTGTGAGTGTATATCCACGAGTCAGTGTTTGTAACTACACAATTATTTTTTTCACAAAGGTTTTAAAATTACAAGTAGAAGCAAATATTCTGATGGCATCTTGCTGACTCAGGTGATTGACTGTTAAAATATGAACTTTCCTTCCTGGACAAATGTCACTTTGATCATTTATGTGAAATAAGGCATCCCAGCTCACATCTCATACTTTCAAATGCTGCTTAAAAATTCCAGTCTCTGTGTTTACTGTCTGTGTGGAAGCCCTTCTCTTGAGTTTTTAAGTTACCGATTCTGACAACTCAGTTATTTCACTTACCGACTTTTGTAAACCTTTTTGTTCATCCAACGTAACAAGCAAGCCCAACCGGGTATCTTTCCCCCCTGGGATGCGCTTCCTCCCCTGCTGCAATGGACAGTGTCCCGCAGCCTCTCACCAGGTGCTGACGCTCAGCCTGCCACCCAGGCTGTGGTTTCTCACCTGCAGTTCCAACAGCTGTTGGCACCTTCTGTCTGCCCTGGCACAGGTCCTTGGGTTTCACTGTTAAGGCAGCTCCCTAACCTTCCCCGCACGCGCTCAGCCTGTCACTAGTCTTCTCACGCAAGGCCGTAGGAACTGTGATTGAAGTACTGAATAGCACACACGTCTCCAGTTTAAATGAATATGGTACTGAAACACGATTACTCTATCACTATCCTAAAAATACTATGCATAATACATGTCCCAAATAGTACCCCTTTCTGTATGCTAATAGGTATACAGTTTACTTAAAGGGATCTCAAGAGTGTCCATTGCACTATTGTTTTATGCTCTGGGCAGGGGGCATTTTTTTGATTGGCAACCTAAAGCTCAGGGAAGCTAAAATAATTATTTTGCTTGAGAATCCAGGGTAGTGGCTAACCTGGAATTAGATTCTTGATCAAAATTTTATGACTATCTACTTTTATATTAACATTGAAATATTTCTATGAACTTATTGAAGGTTTTTTTTCTTTCGTTCACTATATCATCTTTACTCTGTTTTCTTTATTTGAAGCCCATTAAATTTCATTGTTTCATTTTGCTCCTAACTTTTGATGTTATACCTCAAAACACCATGGCTCCTCATTTTAATATACTCATATTTATTTTTTTAAAATATGTCTTCATTTATTTTTATATATAGAGAGAGATATGACGGGAGAAGGGAAAGAAAAATAGAAACATGAATTTGAGAGAGAAACATTGATTTACTGCCTCCTGCACACCCCCTACTGGGGATCGAGCCCACGACCTAGGCATGTGCCCTGACCTGGAATCAAACTGATGACCTCTTAGTGCATGGGTTGATGCTCAACCACTGAGCCACATTGGCTAGGCACTTTTATGTTTATTTTTTGTGCTCAGAATCTTTTTTATATTACTAAATTTTTAACATTTTCTTAACCTGCTCAGACTTTATTGTCTGTTGTGGTTTAAATTTCATTTAACATATTGTAAACACAGTAAGTAAATCTCATAAAATATGTAGCGGGCATCACTCTGTGTATGGGAACTGTGATTCAAATAATGTGCTCTTGCCACGGAAGGAGTCAAACCTGTGGTCCCTCCGCCACGCCGCTGCCCCCAGGGGTCTGCTTCTGACCCTCTTGCAGAGAAATGATTGTTAGGTCCTTAGAAATAGTCTGTCAGGACCCTGTATTTTAATAATGTGCTTTGGGAAAAGTTTAGTTGTGCTTACATGACATTATTCTCTTTTTTGAAAACCTCTGGGAGAAATATATTCAGTGATTTTGAGACTTCTAGGC